AGTAGCTTTGCAGATGTTAATCAGAAATTAATCTGGAATGAACGGTGCTTGAAAAGGGGGATTCAGCCAATGGTAAGCTAGCTTCTTCCAGTAGAGGTTCTAAATGGGTCTTTCTCTGGATTACAGACTGCTTCTTGCACATCTGCCAGATTGGACAATTACAGTGTTTTTCCTCAGTGGCACCTGAATTCCTGCCGTTTAAGGGATTCATAAATTAGAAGTTCTACATGGTGACTCCTCTTGATTTTGTAGCAGGGAATGCTTTGCCCACTTACATTAAAGCCTACTGGATTTTTTTTTTATAGCATGCAGCTGCTGGACTGGGCAGTATATTCCAAACACCTGATTTAAACATTTACTGCTTTTTGTAAAATCTGTCATTTGAACTGAAAATTTTCATTGTGTGCTTTCTGCTTTGGGGTGAATTGCTTTTAAAAGTTTAAAGAGAATTCATTCACCCATAATTGTGTTTTCTAGCATGATAAGCAGATGCAGCTTGTGTGAGGCTGATTTACAGGTTATAAAACACTTCAGGACCCTTCATCACCTTCAGTGATTAAAATGAGATCTGGGCCTCCTCTGTTTGTTTGTATTCTACCACATTAGTGAATTCTGTGGCAGGGATCTGTGCTAATCTGTTGCTAGCTGGGGAAGGCCAATCTGTTCAGTTTAGTTTTATTTTTATCTCCCTGTCCTGAGCTTCGCTGTACATTTTTCTTTACTCTCCAATGCTTTCTGCTTAAATGACCACTATTATTATTTTACTAAAAGTTTGTAAAACTGTTGTATAAGATTTAATTACAAGGTTTACCTACCAGCAGGTCAAAACATTTTGCATTGTTTCACCTGCATTACAGGTATATAAATATTAAATTGTTGTAGCACTTAACCAGACTCTTTTCAGAGTAAAAAAACATAGTACACAAATGTATGCTTTATATATACATAGTCATTGCCATTGTTTCATCTGATGGTTTCACTTTTCTTTTATTAAGAATAATATTAAGAAAACCTAGCCCATGTTGTTTAAAGGGTATGTTTTTCATACCTAGATTTTCCTTTTTTTTTAAAAATAGTTTTAAAAATAATGTTGACTACTTCTTTAAGATTTTAGTACAGCTAATGCTAAGGAAAGATGTAAGTTTAATAACAAAATGACAAAGCTTGGCATCTAAAAATTAGTATTTAGCTACTTATGCATGCCTGTGCACATTTGAATTGCACATTCATAGCAGGTATGTATGAGCTAAACCCATGCACGAATAACCCAAAACTTGACCTAAAGTGCATATCCATGTCCTTCAACAAACTCCTAAATACGTGTTCTAAATCATCTATGAACAACTGATATATAGGGGTGTGCGAAACAGCACTGTTTAGTTTTGACTTCCGTTTTGCCATTTTGATGAGACTGTTTCATTTCATTTCGTCATAACTGTTTTGCTGATTTGACGTTTCACCCATAGGCTATAATGGGGAATCATGTAAATGCCTATAACTTTGTAATTTCTTGCCTGATTTGGATGAAGCTTGCAGGGATGGTAGCCCCTTCTGAGGGCACGAAGTTCCATGGAGATAGGTGCGGAGGTTTCTGGGAAACTGCACCTAAAACTGTTCAAAGCAAAACTCGTGACACTTGCCAGCAACAGCAGCCTCCTGTCATCCTGCATGCAGATCCAGGGGCCTGCACCCCTGGGAGGGCTGCAGGGCTGTGCCGGACTCCTCTTGGGAGTGCATGACCCCAGATCTGCATGCCAGATGACAGGAGGCTGCTGCTGTCTAGGACTGGTGCTGGGCACTGCCCACGCCCAGTGCCAGGGAGCTTGGTACTGCCGCTGGTCTGAAGCAGCAGTGGCAGCCTCCTGTCATCTGGTGCACAGATTGGGGCCTGCACCCCAGGAGGAATCTGGCACAGCCCCACAGCCCTCCCAGGGGTGCAGGCCCTTGGGTCTGCACATGGGATGATGGCTGGGGCCAGCGGCAGCACCCATCTTCCCAGCACTTGGCACCGGCTGTGATGAAAGGTGAGTCTTCTTTGGGGAGGAGTGAGAGATCAGGATTGCCTTAATGTTTGGAGCCTTCATACAGAGACCTGGACAGCTGGTTAAGCAGATGTAATCTACAGTTAATTGCCTTGTAAACCCTTTGTTTTGCTAAAATTAAAGCCTGTCCTTGTTCTAGTGACATTCTTTACTTCCAGAGGCAATGCACATTGCATAAAATACCTTTGTGTTTATATCAAGGTTAATTTGGTATTATCTTTATTTGGATCAATGGTATGGTTGGATCAATGGAGAGGTGTACGACAGGGTTGTGGGCATATCTCTCCGAACTATACTGTTTGTCCAATAAAAGATATTATAAAATAAACCTTACTTCTCAGGTATTCCCTGGGCCATCACAGCTGCAACAACACTCCTACCTTATTGCAACATTGTGTTTAAATCCATGGTTTTCAAACTTTTTTCATTTTCAGACCTCTCAAAAAATATTGCATGGAGGTGTAGACCTCTTTGAATTGTAAGTGCAGGCATTCACATATTTTGATTGATCAGTCATCTTTCACAGATCCCTTAGACATAGTCTGCAGACCCCACTCCCCTAGGGGTCTGCAGACCAGAGGCTGAAAACCACTGGTTTAAACGAAGAGAAACAACATGTATCCTGCAACTTGAGTTATAAATGCACTCAATTATGGATATTTTCTTGGGTATTTTCCATATAATACAGGCCCTGAGATTCTAAGAAATGGAACTTCCTATGCAGAAGTGTGTACTTTTCCACAAATTCCCTCTGTGTCATCTTTTTTTTATGAAGAGACTCTAGGAAGCAAACCAGCCTGGCATGATTGTATAAATCTATGTCAAACCTTTCCCAATACACCCCCAGTGACCAAGAGTCAGGGTAATGAACAAATCTAAGTAGATTGATTGTGAGGACAAGCTCACGTGGACACTTTTCCCATGTAGCTGAACTTCATTATTATTCCCTGAGGGGAGGTTGCCTGGGCTACAGACTCTCTAATGGTGGGGAAAACAACATGAGAAAGGAGGCTTGAAAAAATTGTCATGCTAGTTTTTAACACGTTAGCAGATCAGGATATATACTAGGCTTCCCCAGAGTCTTTGTATCAGCCTGCAAGCACATGTGAAAACTAGGAAACAGGTGTAGCAAGCTCATTTGGTGCTGGGGGCGTGGCAGGGTATGCCAACCATTGTAGATGGCAGTGGGAGGAAGGGAAGTCTTACCTGCCCAGGCTCTCTGCACACTGAAGGCAGCTGCTAGTGTTGCTGCTTCTGCTCTTGTAGCAGCGTTGTCAGCTCTGGCAATAGCCCTGTGACACAACCTCCCTGAAAATCATGCTTGATGCC